CGCTTGTCAACCCAAATGATCCAAGAAATCGCGGCGCCCAAACTATGTAGTTATTCCCTTAGAGCTTCTGGAATGGGGAATTGAAGTAGTGTGTACTTTTATTGAAAGCAGTCTATGTACAGTCTTAACATTTTTTTTCCGGAATTTATTTTTTAATACATATATTTTTTAACCCGCATAGGTAGACTTTGTCTTCTGTTTGTTACAAGTTGAAATAGCGTTGTTAGTGAGAGATGTATGTGTTGCTCCTTGAAACAAATTTTATTTTCCTACAAACGCAGAGAAAAGTGAAATCAGCACCAAGGATGAAATTAAAACGCGGCAAGCTAAAAATGTACAAGGGTAAATGTTGAGATGAATAGAGAGCTTAGTGGGAAGGACATTACCGTATTTATTCGAATAAACGCCCAACCTCGAATTAGCGCCCACCTCGAATAAGCGCCCATCCTAAAGGCAGAAAAAGTTAATAAGCGCCCAGCCTCGAATAAGCGCCCACCCCCTCCTCCTCCCAATCAAACTCAAATAAGCGCTCACCCCCACCCCACCCACTTGAGTGAATAAATTCTAATAAGAGACTTCCCGGAGGACGGAGTTTTCTTCAGAGTATTATACAGAAACCTTTCTTTGTTACTTCTCCGCGTTTTGTTATTAGCATTTATTGTTTTGTTGCAAAATAAACATACTTCACTTGCTGAAAATAGTGAAAATTTAATAAGCGCCCAGCCTCGAATAAGCGCCCACCTCGAATAAGCGCCCACTCTCACGGTCCAAAAATTTAATAAGCGCCCAGGGCGGTTAATCGAATAAATACGGTATTTATATATCTAGTCTGCGAGCAAGCTCTCCGGGGCGTTCTGGCGGCTGGGTGGGAATAGAAAAGAGAGCTTGCAACTGCGTCTCTGGTATTTGAATATCTACGTCAAAAAATGCAATGCGAAATGCTAGTTGGAGGAGATGACATTAGTAATGGCGTCATTACCCTTGGCATGTGTTTTTTAATGTTTGTTTACATTCGCGCTCGTTTCCGCTTCGCGCTGATTGGCGAAAATTTGACAGCTCCGTCGACGAGGAGCCACAGGGGAATTGGAGGTTGAATTCAAATTCCAGAGACGTAGTGTCCAGCTCTCCTTCCTCCTCCCCCACCGCCGCCAGAGCGCCCCGGAGAGGTTACTCACAGGTTAGTATATATCTTAAGATGGAAATATTCGGAAGCTGATCGAACGATCAATTCATTTCTTTACAATGTTACAAGAGTGCTTCAATGCTTTTTCTTTTAAGGTAGGAGTAGGCCCTTTGCAACTCGGGGTTACAGAACCTACAGCAGAACTTAAAGGAGCATAAAACAAACAGTGGCTCTATTTATTATTATTATTATTGTCTCTATTATCACAGTCTTTGCTATTATTATTATTATTATTATAGCTTTGGGAAAAGTCGCTTTTTTTAATACAAACCGTTACAATTTTACAGACTTTCTGAAGCCCCTAAATCTTAGTCGTACGTGTCAACACTTTAGAAGCGGCGTCCTCGCTAACTTACTCGTGCTCTGTTGACCATCTCTAGTATTGTTTAAGTTGTATCTCATGTATTTATATTTTTTGCTTGAAGCAGGTCATGTGACTGTGAGCTGCATAGGGCCTATGGTGTTCCGACTCTCATGTCTTTAACCCTTTAAGCCCTTAGAGTGGTCAGCATCAAATTTCTCCTTGTAATATCAATCCTTTGTAAAACAGAGTGGTCATGAGAATTACGCACATGATCACGCAAGACGAATTTGCTTGATATTTTCTCAACTTCTCCTTACTACTCCTGTAGGAAATGAATAGGGGCATCAAATGGGAATGCAAATTCTGATCTTAGGGTTTAAAGGGTTAAACCCTACCTTTAACATGCATATTCTCACACTTTCCCCCATCCGTTCACTTTTCTAAGAATGCTGAAGAAGTGTATCATGCCATTTTTAAAGCTATTCACCATGTTGAACGAAAATAGATACGCTATGTTCCGTTCAAAAAGTTACAACTCTCCAAAAAATCACTCCACGTTTGTTGAGCTACAAATACTAAACGATGTGTAACCGTGTGTCAGAGAAGAACATATGTCAAACCACCCACGTTACTTGTTGACGTTTTTCCTTATTCTCGCGACCTTAATGGTTGATTGAGCTGTGGCCTCGTAAGGAGAAATGTGATGCTGATCACCGTTGGCGTTTAAAAGGGTTAAGACTAAGTTAAGCTTATGTAAACAATGCAATTACAACCATGATCATTAGTGTACAGATGCGTGTCGCTGAGTCGATGTAGTTTTAGTCATTTTTTAAGAATGTAGCTCTAACTTTTGAGAGTGCACAAAATCATGTTCGGACCATTCAGATGAAATTTCTTCAGCTTTTGTTTTCATGGTTGGTATATTTTCCCGTCATTTGCTAATTTATTTATCTTTTACCGCATAAAATATAGGAATTTTGATTTTAGCACTCTTGGGAAGTTAGAGGGCCAAGAAAAAGGTTGAAAGATTTTAACTTGGAGGACAGGCAGTTTGTGAATAAATTAGCCTTTCAGCTCTGAATTTCAGTTGATTATGGTCAGACTTAAAAAAACACTACTCTTTGCTCCAGCCAGGGCTAGCCAATCACAGAGTTGAGCAATCCAGTCAACCAATCTGACTCAAAGGCAATAGTAAAGTGTGATGTCATAAAAAATTAAATTTGTGAAATTATGGGATTTTTCGGGGTATTATGAAAGAACATCCAAAAGGACTACTTGCCAAAAATTAGCATTCCAGGGCAAATTAGCCCAGTTATGTTTTGACGACTCCATGTACAAATCCTTCTAAATTCGACTCAGCTCATAACATCAGGAACCGAATCAAATTTAGAAGGATTTGTGTGGAGTCATCAGTGCAAAACGGGAGTAGAATCTTCGAGACAATTTGCCCCATAATGCTACTGTTTGGCCAGAACGGCCTTTCAGATGTTGTTCTTTCAAAATATCCAAACAAATCCCACAATTTCCAAAATTATATTTTTTACGACGTCATCGCTTTAGAACACTATGGTACGAAAATGGTTGTGAATGAGTCGGGATTGTATAAATTGGCTCGACATTTTCCTAGCCGACCATCAACGCACTAGAACAACACCAAGGCAATCACTAAACACGCTGTGGTTAATAGTAGTTTGGTGGTCTTGCAGACCGTGTTACGCAATGCAAGACACGATAACCAACCCACCCTTTAACCCGATCGGGAGCTTACGCAACGAGAACGTTGAACGTCCCGGACGTCAAAAAATGGCAACCGAAAGTTGAGATTTTCTCTCTCTCAGTGCTCTGACTAGACAGATTGGACAACGGAAGNAGACCGAGAGAGGGACTAATGATCAGAAAAAAGAATAATAGCCATACCTCTTGGGTGCAGAGATTTTCGCTGATGTATTTTAGAGTTAAATCTTTCCCCATTTCCGTTTTGTCAAACAGGATACCTACCTACAAGAGGATATGTTATTAACGAGTGTGTGAGTTACACTGAAAATACCTGATTGAAAAAACGTTGTCGCTTAAAAAGTATAAACCATGAACGATATGGGTATACCTTCATAAGCAAAGCGAATCCAAAATTCTTTCAACAAAACTTTTCATTTACACCAGCTGCTCGTGCCGATGCAAATCCCTGGAGTAATTTGTTTATAGCATGCCGTGGTCTTTTTATGTCTTCCACAAAAACTTTTGGATCCTATCTCATGATTTTCAAGAGTGGGTTAGCAATATGGCTGCGCTCTTTAACTATAGAGATCTCTGAAGCGCCCGCCACAGGTAAAGATGCGAGCATCCCGTCGCGAAAAGCTTCGATAATCATGTATAATTTTCTGAAAAGAACTTTAACTTTGCAAAGCTAATAAAGTTCTACCGATAAATCTATTAGGTCCCATCGTTCATGGTTTATACTTTTCTAGCGACCACGTTTTTACAATCAGTTGTATAACGAACAATGTGATCAAGGACAACTAATATCCACACTATCCAATCAGAAGACTGCGTAGTCTCTTATTTTCCTTTTCGCTTAACCGTGGCGCGCGAGCGGCAGGAGACGCAGCCGCCAGCCGCGATAAACGAGGGCGTATATCCACGGAAGAGAACTTGACGGATTCAAAGGCGGACTGCAAGTTGCAATCTATACACAGAGTAAAAATCATACGTTTACTCATCCTCATAGAGCCAGGCACGAATTTATAGTAAGACGAGGAACAGTAACAAAACGGAAAAAACTCGACAGCACCTATTTCTTATCCTTAGCTTTGAGAAATTTTGTCTCGCTTCATTATCTATCTCTTGGTCTCCTAGAATGTGAATGTTTGTATTTTTTCCACCATAACCATTTCTGACCACAGGTGTAGACTGCAAAACAGCCTTATTTTGCGTTGGCCATGAATACGAGCACTGATAAAATGAAAAAGTCTAGAATACGGATGGAAACGAAGTGATACAAGCGTGTTTCGGCTTCAGGTGGGCGCGTTTCACTTTTGGCGCGAAACGTCTTACGAGCAGCGATTTAGGTTTGAAAGTGACAAACTAAACTGCAATCTTTTTACCATGTTGGCAGATTCCAAATGTAGTTTAGCTGCCAAAAATCTTTGTATTAAGCCAATGGTGACTTGTGTTGAGAGTCTCATGTATTTCTTCTGAAGTGGCTGCAATCAAATAATAAATCAATCAATCAATCAGTTAGTCAGTCAGTCAATCAGTCAATCAGTCAGTCAATCAATCAATCAATCAATCAATCAATCAGTGAGTCAGTTAGTCAGTCAGTCAGTCAATCAATCAATCAATCAATCAATCAATCAATCAGTGAGTCAGTTAGTCAGTCAGTCAATCAGTCAGTCAGTCAATCAATCAATCAATTAATCAATCAATCAATCAATCAATCAATCAAACAATCAGTCAATAAATAAAAAATTCACTCCCATTTATTCCCTCAACGCTGCATACGTTTTTGCCTTTTAATAACATTCTTTAAGTTCTAAACCCCACCCTTGCCCTTTTGAGAGTAGCGAGCCATTCAAAAACAACAACTAACAACAACACAGATACATTTATGGTGCAAATGAGCGCAGGGCATCAATTGGGCATTTATTTCTGCTTTCGTCAAATATTCTGATTTGTTCAATATTGCATACAAGTCTTTATGAGACTCCAATGGCTTATTGACCTATTTCAAAACTAAAAAAGAAACAACGTCAACATTTACCTGTATTTTTGCTGGGCCACCACTTCCATCTCTGCAATTTTAACAAGTAAACAATAACATTATCATCCAGCCACATAGAAATGAAGTTATTTATAGTTAGTAATACTAATATCTATTTATATATTCTATACATTACATTACACTTGATTTATATAGCGCTATTTTCGAGCCTACAAGCAAGCAATGCCACGCGAGTGCGCACTGGCTAAGCTGGCTAGATACGTCCAGAAAAAAGTCCACAAAACAGTGCTAATTACATGCCTGGACAATTTACATCTGGCATGTAAGATATACTGTATAATGCAATAATCTAATTAAAACCTAATATTTTATTAAGCCTCTTCTTAACACACATGATATTAGCCCTTTTAAGAAGACGTATATCTGGGTGATGTATTCAGACAGGAGGACTGGAGTTAAACATCAGTTCATTTATCAGTAGATGTTTATTACGCATATAATATCTCCTAGTAAGTACATGCACTGTGATTGGTAAAATTATGTTGCTGGCCATATTTCAGTATACTTCCCTAACATATTCCCTTTCCCAAATGCCAATTAACCTCTGAGATAAAACAATTTTTTTACTAGCCTCATACTCTCAGTCGATACTTAACGTTACAGATCCTCATTTTCCCCATTGATTTAGCGCCAGTCCACTTCACAAAGCGGCCATAAATCAATGGCAAAAAAACTTGGTCTGTAACTCACAGTACATACCTAGAACTCAATTAGTACCGGTACATAATACAGCGGAACCCAAGTTTATTGTAAAAACCACCCCTGGGCGAACTTGCTATTACACTGTCTGATAACATTCTATTTGGTCAAAAAAGAAGTGAACATCTTGCAGTGGCTTTTCATGTACATTTGTTACATCTTTTCCAGGTATTTGTTTGTGGAAACAATGTTATCTTTCAGAGAGTTTCATGCTCTCTTAAGCCTAGTTAAATAATCTATACAGGTGTATCACTTCATCTTGCAACTAATTTAAGGTAAAAAAGTAAGGTAAAAGGCGCACACGAGCCAAAGGCCCGCAAACAGCAGGAGCTTATTCTGGTTTCGTTAGAATGATGCATGCCTAGGAGTATTGCTACTCTCCCTGGACGGGATGCTAGTCCATCACAGGGCTACCCCTCCCCCCTCCCCCCAGCAGTATGCTGCTGGTACCCATTTATACACCTGGGTGAAGAGAGACAAATTGGAGTAGAGTTCCTTGTCTAAGAAAACAAGGGGACAGGTGAGGCTTGAACCCCAGACCTCCAGATCCAGAGTTTGAGGTGTTAACCACTCTACCACACAGCCTCCATCTCACAACTATTAAAAGGCAGGGTTTAGTCACAAATTATTTCACTAACCTAAATGTCTCAAGTTGAAGAGAGATTTGTTCATCTGTTCTATGATAGTTTTTTGTTACTTTTGGTTTGCTTATTTTTTTGGGTAATGATGCTGTTTGTTTCTTGACGGCATTTGATGGTCCTGGTACAGATAAAGCCTGACAAGCTACAACAGAAAAAAGACAAACAAACAATAAAAAACAGAACTATCAATAATTAACAAGTATTATTTCTTGACACCACCTTGTGTTTGTTACATAATTCCTTTCTGCGTTATATGCGATGGACACGAGAGCCAGAGCCATAGAAATGGTACAAAAATGACAAATTTAAATTGCAATTTATAAAACATTTTCTTGATCCCACATTATAGCAATTACATGGAAATGCATGTAGTTGGAGCAGGGCCAGACCAAACAGACAGAAAAAAATATAGATTTTATAATTATTTTAAGCACTGAGAATAGTCCAGTTTCAAATTAAAAATTACAGCTGAATACAAACATTAACAACACATTCATACAGGGTTAGCCTTGACGTAAAGTAAAATATTCAGAAATTCTGGCAAGTAAGTGTTTGAAATTTGAATATACACAATAGACAGAGTAATAAACAGGTCTTTTTCTCGTTGGACTTTGTGAATATATTACTTCATATTGAGGCTAAGGCTGTAAAAAATGCGTATTCACTTCTTTAATTCAGTAGTCATAGTGAACTCGAAAATGGACTATTATAGAACTGAAGCCGGGCAGATAATAATATTATCATTTCTTAAAATCAGCGGAAATACCTCTGGGGGCTGGATATGGTATCTGCCTATCTTTATAGAACTTGCATTCTCTGCGCCTTTCCTCTGAAATCAAAGAAACAGGATGCACTAATCAACAAAGTTATATAAGTAGCTGGGTTTACTTAACTTCTGGGTTCAGTCCAGCCTCCTATAGGGACTAGCTGGAGAAGCATGAAACAGCCTAAAGGCACCTGAAGTTTCAGTAGCCGCATTAGAAGGGGGGGGAGGGTGGGTGGTTTGGTGTCACTTTTCAGAATGAGAATCAAAACACAAGGGACTCTTTCAGGAACATGTGTAGTGACTCGTCTACTAAATAAATTTGATTTGAAGAATTACCAATGGCTGCATAAAACTTCTACGGCAAATACACAATGTACAAAAAGGACATTGACACAAGAAAGTCCTTGATCTGTGTAGTACTTATAGAGTTACTAAAAATTGAGATCCGACAGCATGGCAATTAGCGGTCACTTACAGGAAGCTAAAACAACCCCAAACTTGTTCATTTTTCTTACGTCAGGTTTCAACAATTACCGGTATAGGGCTTTGATGCGCAAAGTCTTTGTTGTTGAATTGGGTGCATGGTCATTTAATATGGGAAGTGATTGCTTATGAGACATGGTCGCACATGGGGTTTAACTGTTAGTAGTAATTTCTTAAGATGAACCACAGCCCAAAGCATCAGGGATGTTGCTTTAGTCACTCAGTCCAGTACATTATTAATAATTATTTATGACCCCCTTCCCCCCCCCTCCCCGGCTTCTTTGCAATACCTGTAGTATACACACCAATATAACCTTACACATTTCACAGTCTCTAAAGTACTTCTTTTTCTGGAATCAGAAGTCATCATTTTAAACAAGAATTTTTTTTATTGGCCTTCCTTCTCTTTATTATTCTTAACTATTCCAGGTGATACCGGTATTTTATATTTGGCTGATTATTTAACCTTCACCCCTGGATATTGCTTACCAGAAAAATCACAAAAAATCAATTTTATTTCCGTTAAAATCTTGAGAAAAAAAATAACAAAGTAAAACAACAGAATTGTGTCCACAGATTTTTGAAATTAAGGTGACAAAATTAATAACATTGACAAAACTTAGGGTAAAAGTGAAAGGTTCAATTAATTGTATCATCTAATCAGAAACTTACAGAAACTAATAGGATAGTCAGTGTCTTATGATCACTTCATGTGAGATATTTCAGGCAATGTCTTGAATCAGTTTTGAAAAAGATTAATATTAACCATGTTACTCTTAATGCTAGCTCACCCCTTTCAATCCTTGGAAGAAGCTTGTAAACAATATCTTGCATAGTTCTGTCAAGTCTGTGAAGAGAATGTGATTCACATCATTTCTAGTATAATATAACCATAACCATAGGGGAAACATATGAATAAAGAATTTAAAGTCCAGAATACCCAGCACATATGTTTTTTCCAAAACCGAAACGTGAGATTGCGGGATCCCACCTGGTGGGATCTGCTAAGATCATCAACAGGGAGATGAGGCACACCAGTTTTGATTGTACCCGACAACGCCAAAACCTTTAAACTGGTAAAGCTCTCAAGACACTTTGCAAGCATTGCAAAATCGCAAGTGATCAGGAGACAGTGATTTTCGTGTCCGGTCGTACTCATAACTGCAGCAGGTCTCCCAGGTGAGCAGCCTCTGGTCGATAGAACAATGTAGACTAGTCTCAAGATCATTGTCTCCCTGATTGCCTGGGGGAATATTTATCAATATTAATACTGGAGAAGGGTTTCACTACAATCATAAAAAATAAGAATTGCTCCAGACTGAAACTTTGACCTAAGCGTCTTAGCACTCATGGTACAGCACAAAAAACAACAAATGATATAGGCAAATCCGCGATAAAACCTCGAAAAAACTATTGTGCTCTGAAATTTCCATTAGCAACGGCGGACAGCAAAAAAGCAACTGACAAACAACAATGAGCACGTGACTCAAAACAACCCCTTGGGCCCAGGTCTCAGCGGTGTGCGAGAAAACATTTTCCACCTACCGGTATTTTGTTCCTCAGCCAGTGGAAAATACAACTTACTTAAAATTAATATTAATTTTTACCTGATATTATAAAGTGGTTGTGTCTCATGAATAACAGTGTTGCATGTTGGACATTGATTAACAAGTTCAATATGTCTCACAAGGCAGCTCTTACAAACTAACAAAATAAAATGTAAGACAAAATATTTAAGAATAGATCAAAACATGTTATTGATCTCAGTACTGGTTTGGACTGTACTGAGGAATATTGGCACAAAATAATAAAGGTATACATGATAACAACATTCATAATTTTTTGAAAAGATGTTATTCTGCAGAGACTTTGGGGACTTAAATTTACAGAGACATGTACTTTTGCAGAAAGCTCGTTATTTCTGAAATGCATTAGCATTTTCGTTTTTCAAAAGAAATTAGCTGTATGATCTACAACTATTAAGCTTTCAGAAGTAGTACAGTGTGTAGGGCTAGAAGTGCTTTAGAGCAATCTGCATGAAGACGGTTCTGAAGGTAGGATGATACCTTTAATAATACAATGTATTCACTACAAAGTGCCCCAACCCCCTTGATTCAAGAGTTAATTGCACCCTACACTGCTGTGA